GGGGGGCCCGTGAAGGGGGCTTTTTTTAGGCCCCCCCCCCCCCCCCCCCCGCCCCCAAGGCAAACAGGGATCTCTTGTTTGCGATTCTGTCCCTTTGAGTCTCAGGTCCACTGACACCTAAGCTCAGGTTGTCACCAACAATCGTCCTGTGACTTCTGCTTCCAGACACAAGGGATGTGGAGAACGGTTTCAGGGAAACCTGAGGGATGGAGTCTGTAACCATCCTTTTCTTTTTTTCTTTTAATTTCTATTGTTGAAAGTATTACATAGGTCCCCCTTTTCTCCTATGAACCTCTTCCAGCCGCTCCCGTCCCCGTCCCCCCAAGGGTTATGCATATATGCATGCAAGTTCATTGGTTGAGGTCTTCCCACCCACCCTCCCTTGCCTTCCCTCTGAGGTTCAACAGTCTGTTCATGCTTCTATGTCTCCGGTTCTATTTTGTTCATCAGTTTATTAGGTTCATTCGATTCCACATATGAGTGGGATCATGTGATACTTATCTTTCTCTGCCTTATTTTGCTCAGCATAATACCCTTCACGTCCATTCATGCTGTTGTGGATGGTAATGGTTTTCTTTTTCACAGCTGTGTAGTATTCCATTGTGTACATGTGCCATATTTTTTTATCCATTCATCTGATGATGGGCACTTAGGCTGTTTCCAAGTCTTAACTGTTGTAAATTGTGCCGCTATGAACATAGGGCTGCTTCTATCCTTTCTGATGAGGGTTTCAGGTTTCTTAGGACATAGTCCTAGCAGTGGGATCTCTGCTCATAAACACACCTGGAAAATGCCCAGTTCAATCTTGTCACCCTCCTGCTTCATGCAGAGCAGACTTGGTGATGCTCTCTCAACGCCACACAATGTCATTGTGACCCTGTAACAAGTGCTTGGCACCGAGTCCTGCACTGCACCTGCCAGGCACCCTTTGCTCTGAGCAAACCAGGGAGTGTGGGCCTTCTTCACCTGCTCGCTCACCTGGTTGCTCACCTGCTCGCTCACCTGGCACTACAGGTTAGTTCTGCACCAGGTGCAGGACTCTGACCTTCTCACTAATGTTAGGTCTGGTGAAATAATTGAGTCAATACCCCTCCCCTGGGAACTGATCCTTAGGCCACTTCACTACAGATATCCCCTTTTGCTTAGACCACATTCCACTTGCTAAGACTATTATCTCTCCCCTCCAGACCTTCCAAGGATCCAGACCTACACAGACATTCTGTACCCAGAAAAGCCCGCCAGAGTCTTTAAAACCTCTGATGCTGTCTTTGGGTGCTGGCACATTGGGGGCTCGGCCCATCCTGGTATCCAGATGACCTAATCCTATATAATAAAGAGGTAATATGCAAATTGACCCTCACTCCACCACACCGTCACAAGATGGCTGCACCCACAGTGGAGGCGGGGTTCCCGTAATGAGCCTTAACGAGCGATCAGCAGGGACCTGAGGCTGCATGGTGCTGGGCCAGGGCAGGGGACCTCAGGCTGTGCCCCCCGGCCAGTGGGGCTTGATGGGGGACCTGAGGCTGCGCCCCTGCCTGGTGGGGGTTGATGGGGGGGGGGCTGCCTGGGTCTGGATCTCACACAATTTCGAGGTGCACGCAGGTGGATGGGACTTGACTCTGGGTCCTGTGGTGCGCCCCAGATTCTGACAGGAGGAAGATTTTCATATATATTTTACTAATTTTCTTTCATCTCTGACACTTCTATTATAGAGAAAGGGCAAATAGCAATATTAAAATATTTCCTCTAATGAATTCCCTTTTAATGTGTATGAAATTCGTGCACCAGGCCACTAGTAAATTTATAATTCTTACCACTTTCAGCTTCGTGTGTTCCTCCTTTGGCAACCCTAACATATGTCTTTCCAGAAACTTTCCCAGTTTGTCACATTCCAGAACAACATTTACTACCTCCAAATTCTTACAGCAGTTAATATTAAATTAAGGTTATTGTAATGAACTCTATTTAATATTAACTATGCAAAATCTATTGTATATATGTCATTACATATGTACATAACAGACATAGATATGTAATTTATATCAAAATATAATAGTATTATTCTGTCATTTATGGTATGTTATTTTATTAAGTACTAGAGGCGCGTTGCACGAAGAGATTCGTGCAATAGGCCTTCCCTTCCCCTGGCTGCCAGCACCAGTTTTCCTCCAGCACCCGGGACCCAGGCCTTCACTCCGGCCGGAGCCTTCCGTCTTCGCTCTGCTGCTTCTTGCCTACATATGCAAATTAACCGCCATCTTTGTTGGGTTAATTTGCATACTCTCCAGATTGGCTGGTGAGCATAGCAGAAGGACGGTCAATTTACATGTTTGTCTATTACTAGGTAAGATAGTTCAAAATTCAGTAATTTGAGTTCCAGTTTCACAATATTTTTTTTTTCTGTATCTGGATATAATCTAAACTATTATTTACTTACGTTTTTTTCTTTAAATATCCTCTTTATAGAACAGTATTTCAAAAGACAACTTTACATCACTACCCTACCTCTGACCATGAACAGAAAAGAAAACCACAAAGGAAGAGTATTTTTTCTTTACTTCCATCACCACTTTGGGTCATTCAGTTCCAGGTACATGCTGTTTACTGTGGAGACACGGAGCTCGAGACACGCTCTGGGCCATGAAGTGAAAGAGGGCAGGGTGGGTGGGATCAGCAAATGCCAGTGGGTTGCCCAGCTGACCCTTTACCAGTTAGTCCATCAGAAAGATGGAAGGAGCAGAGAAGAGAGAATGATATTTGATTCTCAATTTCAATATTTTAACCACCAAAGTTCACATACTATTTACCATAATTTCCTGGGCTCCCCATGGCACTTTGTACAGTTCTAGGAAAACGTTAGTTTAATTAATGTATTAAACTGAACCACTATTATATGCCTAACTCAGGAAATATAAAAATATATAACTCAAGAAGTTCACATTGTGGTAAAACATTTATAGTGATACTTTTATTTCTCAAACTTAAAAAAAAAAATACACTTTTATTGACTTCATAGAAGAAGGGAGAAAGAAATGGAGACATCAATGATGAGAGAGTGTCATTGATTGGCTGCCTCCTGTACACCCTGGGGATTGAGCCCCAAACCAAGCATGTGCCCTTGACCAGATTCAAACCTGGGACCCTTCAGTCCACAGGCCAACACTCTATCCACTGAGCCAAACCAGCCAGGGCTATTTCTCAAACTTTTAAATCATTACTTAATCTGTTGAAAGAAAAAAAATCTATGTGATACATTTTTCATGGTAACTTTTCTATGTGTACCTTATCCAGGAATCAAGAACATGCTTGGAATCAGTGTTGTTACTGTAAGGAAACATTCAAACCTGTAAAAAAAATTTGTGTTTCTTTGAGCCAAACTGTCAACAATTGCCAGGAAATAGAATCTCACCGCATTGAGACAATGCTCTGGAAAATGGTGGTTTTTCACCCATTTTTATACATTACAATCAAAGGAGGAAATATAAATGGGATCATAAAATTCACTGGTGATAGATTAGGAAGGTGCAGAAAGCAATGCTGGAAAACCTCTGGGATTCTTTTACAAAATTAACATCATAACAATAACAATTAAGGAACCTGTGGTCATCCTGGTGCCCTGGGGCATTGGTTGTGCCCTGAGGGGTTCAGAAAAAAGGACGTTAGATGAAAGGACAACAGACAGGCTTAGTTATGGTAAAGACAGACTCTTGTCAGGGAAGAATCTAGCCTAGGACCACCTGCCATAACCTGCTTTTAGTTAGAACGTTTTCACTTCAGACCACCCTTTGTGGTGACTTTAGGTCTCTCGAGTTTGCAAGGCCACCACACAGGCCTCCCCTGAGCGGGTCAGGCTAGCAGTGGCCCCTTTCGTCCGCAGTGTACGCCGTCTTATAAAGTCCTAAAAAAACTGGGGCCTTGTTATTGTCTCCATTTTGCTGAAGAATCACATGTTGGGGTCTAGCCCCAGCAGGTCCAGGGGTTCCCAAAGGTGTGGACGGAGTCGGCGAAGAAGGAATGACACAGAGACAGCGTTCAGATGATCAGCATAGCCAGGTTCTCTTTATTCTCTCATTACATCTGTATTTACACCATTTGATCCTATAAGCATGCCTCTATAATCACATCATGGTATGTTCTGGGTCCTCCCTTGACCTCCTACAGCTCCTTGTTTCATGTCCATAGTTTCTTATCTGACCTTTGCCAAAAATCCCATCTCCATCTGGTTCGGTTGATTTTAATCCTATCCATTCTATTCCAAAGGTGTTATCTCCACTCCAAGGTCACTTCTCTACTATTCTGTTAAACTACAAGGAAGTAACTGAAGGAGATTATCCTAAGTAAAGATTATGTAGCTTAAGCGTGACTGTTCATAGTTAAGGTGATAAACTACCCACCTGGCACTTAGTTAAGGGGTTTTACTGATTTATTCCCTTCCTTAGTCCTGTTAATCCCTAAAACAAGGGAAAAATCCCCACCTGGGGAAACAACCTTTCTCAGGGAGGTGGTCCTGGTTAAAACACATAGCACTAAGAGGGGGAACAAACATATGCCATATACGCCAGGTTCCTTGAAACATATGCTGTGCAGATGTTTCTTCCCTGCAGCGACTGTGTCAAGCAGCAAGGGTGGACCGGCTTCCAGCAATCACAGGCTCACCCTGGCTGGCTGGGTGGCTCTTTCGGAGTGTTGTTTCTCTCTCTTCCTCCCTCCCTCCCTTTCTCTCTCTCTCTCTCTCTCAAAAAAAAAAAAATCAATAAACATATCCTTGAGTGAAGATTAAAGAAAAAGAAAGAATCACAGGCTCATTGAAGTATCCACGACACCCAGCTAGCAGGCATCAGTCTACTCAGGTGATAAAACTCAGGAAAAACTGTCCTTTAGAATCAGATTTTTCTCATCTGTTTCTATGCTTCAATCTCTTTCTCTCTGTTCTAGAAATTATTCTTTAGGTAAAAAATATTGACAAAAATTATTTGGAGCAAATCATGTGAATTATTGGAGCTACCAGCTATAAATTCCAATGAAAACCAATAAAGTGACATAAATGCTGGCGTGTGAGGGCCCCGCTGTGTGAACCTTGTCTAGATGGGCCAAAATGCCCTCTGCATGTTCATCTCCTTCCTGCTGACTTTAGCCACCGTCCTCCATATTCTTCTAGACATCGTCTTCTCTGCTGACAATTCCAGGTCACTCAGGCAGTCCCTGACACAAAACACACATTTATACGTTAGGTCTGATCAAATAATTGAATCGATACTCCCTCCCCTGCGAACTGACCTTTAGGACACTTCACAACCGACGTTCCCTTTCGCTTAGACCACATTCCACTTGCTAAGACCGTTATCCTTCCCCTCCAGACCTTCCTAGGATCCAGATCCTCCCAGACAGTTTTCCGCCCAGAGAAAGCCGCCTAGAGTCCTTTAAAACCTCTGACTCTCCATCCCTGGGTGCTGGCACCATTTTGTGACTCAGCCCATCTGGTATCCATATGACCTAATCCATTTATCAGCCCTTACCACTTTGGCCTCGTGCGTTCTTCCTTTGGCGACTCTAACATATTCACATTCTCCAGGCCCGGGACATAAGTGTTTAGCTATCTTAATGCCTCTAAATTCTGTTCCCATTTTCTCTCCTGGATATTATCTTTGGATTCCCTCATTCTACAAGACAAGACAATATCAGAATTGGCTGTTTATTTTCTGCATCTGTGCACTAATGGCTGAATCAAAGGCACCTGTGCTTTGAAAAGTAGTGATTTAAAAACCCCAAATGTATGAGGAACTTACTAGCCACAAATATCTTGCGATGTGGAAGGAGAGAAGATACTTTTTTTTAAAAGTGTGATTTCTCTTATAACAGAATTGAGGGAAGGGTAGACACACATATACAGTGGGGCCTTGACTTAAGAGTTTAATTCATTCCGAGACTGAGCTCGTTAACTAGCTCGTTAACTCAAATTACTTTGTCAACTCAATGCAAAAAATCAGCCGAGAGACAGCTGGTATCTCAAAAGTCAAGGCCCCACTGTAGTTACAAAAGTACATAACAGTATAGACTAAATACACACATGAGTACAAACACATGCATGGGCCTGCAGAGGGCTGTCATAGGTTCTATGAGAAGCTGAGTTAACAGCTGAAGATGGGCTGCTGACTGAGCTAAAATCTTGCGTTTTCCGAATCTACATGTTCTTCCAGTGGCCTCTGTCGGTCTTTTTCTTCTACACTCTCGAAGAGAAAGTCATACAGTCGAGAGATGTACCAGTAGGCGTGGGGTCCTCACAGGATTTCCTTATGATTACACAGATGATTCTTGGAACTTGTTTTATACAACTTCTATTTCTACCTCAGAGCTTTTCCTCATTCATTCCCTTGCCCTGCGTGGATCAGAGGTAGGCACTGCCTGCTATTTAAAAACATTTACTTATGAAACTACCTCTTAAAATTCTTTAAAAAAATTTTTTTTAAATCACACACATGTGCTTCAAGAGAAATTTGGTCTTTTCCTAACCGGTTTGGCTCAGTGGATAGAGCGTCAGCCTGCAAACTCAAGGGTCCCAGGTTCGATTCCAGTCAAGGACATGTACCTTGGTTGTGGGCACATTCCCAGTGGGGAGTGTGCAGGAGGCAGGGGATCGGTGTTTCTGACTCTTTCCCTTCCTCTCTGTGAAGAATCAATAAAATAAATTTTTTAAAAAAGAGAAATTTGGCTTTATTTTCAAGCTTTATAAAAAGGTACCACATATATATCAACCTTCTGAGATTTATGTTTCTAAAGTTCATTGGAGTGCTGTGTATTTCAATCCTTTTCTGTGCGATATGCTATCCCACTGTGTGAATGCACCCCAATAGACATATTGGCCATTAACATGTGGTTGCTTCTAGTATTTTGCTATTCAAAATAGCATTGCTCAGTTCTCACAGATCTCACTGCCAAGTGTGCAGAATACTCTCACGTAAACACCTGGGAGTGAACTGAATCACCAGGGGGCCCGGAATTGCATACAGGGCATTGTCAGAACCCTTCAGCAAATACATTCAGTGTGGAAGTCATTCCATGAGGATCCTGGGAAAAGACCAAACGTTTTAAATACCTATGCTGTCCCCAGGGGATTACAATGGAGAGGTGGATTTCGACATCCTGGGTTGGGGGCAGGGAATGGCCCACTGCTCCCCTTGTACTTTTTTTTTTCCGCTCTACTTTCCAATCTTTAAAATTTTCTTCCAATTAGTAGAGAAAGAGTACATGCAAGCGACGCAGAGAAAAAACATGGATTTGATTTGACAGGAAGAGTAATTTCACTCAGAGAAATGAGAAAGTGAGTAAAATGGCGGTTCCTTTCACAAAGCCTCAAGGCCCCCAATTCTGCAATGAACCCTGAATCGTACTAAAGCAATAATAGAATTGCACAGGGTGTCGTTCCTTCCAAACTTCCCGTACATCTGGATTGGCTGTTACTGCTGCCCACTTTGACCTGACGGATGCGTGAGGTATCTCACTTTTCCCCTTTTGGCTTTCTAACTTAATACTTAGGAAACCAGCGCACAGGGGAAGAGTACTAGCGCCGTCCACCCGCCAAAGGGAAATAAGACAGCTGGAATCTTCAGTGGGTGCGAAATGCCACATTATCAAGGCACACACTGCATGAATGGGGCATTCAAACTTTGCACAGAAGCCTTTAGCGGTTAACATGGTTAAGTGTGATTGGATTGTTTTACGATCAGCATTTTGCTTTTCTTTACTGCACTTGTCTAAGAACCGAATACTTGACATAAACCAATCTCAAAAGGTAGAGGTGGCCTCAGCATGCGCTGCAACGCAGTGAAAGTTTACAACTAGACCGCGGGAAGAAAACCCGCCAACTGCTTTACCGCGAATAACACTTACCCGGTATAAGAGCGAGTCACAGTTCTTTTCAGAAGACTGAGTGGCTCTGAAAAGAGCCTTTGGGTCAGGAGTCGGGCCGCTCGCTCGCGCCTACTTGGAGCTGGTGTACTTGGTGACGGCCTTGGTGCCCTCGGACACGGCGTGCTTGGCCAGCTCGCCGGGCAGCAGCAGGCGCACGGCCGTCTGGATCTCGCGGGACGTGATGGTCGAGCGCTTGTTGTAATGCGCCAGGCGCGACGCCTCGCCCGCGATGCGCTCGAAGATGTCGTTGACGAACGAGTTCATGATGCCCATGGCCTTGGACGAGATGCCGGTGTCGGGGTGCACCTGCTTGAGCACCTTGTACACGTACACCGAGTAGCTCTCCTTGCGGCTGCGCTTGCGCTTCTTGCCGTCCTTCTTCTGCGCCTTGGTCACCGCCTTCTTGGAGCCCTTCTTCGGGGCGGGCGCGGACTTGGCGGGCTCGGGCATGGTGAGGAGATCAGCGGAAGTGGCTGATGGGAGAAAGTAAAAGCGGAGCACGCTGTGTCCTATTTATATAGAACCTCGCATGCAAATAAGGTGATAAACCAGAGCCCTGTGTGTGTTGGCTCCTGAGCGCAAGCTCAAAACTTAGCTCTGCCCAATCAGAGCGCCAGAATCCCAAACTCGCACGCTCACTGGTTTAGATGAAGCTGAAACCTGAACCAATGACACAGCTGCTTCTTCGCGCCACAAACGTTTATAAAAAGTGCCGCCCGCGCGCTTTCACTTTTGCAGCCACTTACAGTGAAGTTTGTAGCCAGAATGTCCGGCCGCGGGAAGCAGGGCGGCAAGGCGCGCGCCAAGGCCAAGTCTCGCTCCTCGCGGGCCGGGCTGCAGTTCCCCGTGGGCCGCGTGCACCGGCTGCTCCGCAAGGGCAACTACGCCGAGCGCGTCGGGGCGGGCGCGCCCGTGTACCTGGCGGCCGTGCTGGAGTACCTGACGGCCGAGATCCTGGAGCTGGCGGGCAACGCGGCCCGCGACAACAAGAAGACGCGCATCATCCCGCGCCACCTGCAGCTGGCCATCCGCAACGACGAGGAGCTCAACAAGCTGCTGGGCAAGGTGACCATCGCGCAGGGCGGCGTGCTGCCCAACATCCAGGCCGTGCTGCTGCCCAAGAAGACCGAGAGCCACCACAAGGCCAAATAAAGACCACGTTTGAAAACCAGTGAACAAAGGGTCTTTTCAGAGCCCTCCTATAGTCACTAGAAAGGCAGCACGACTTAGTTGCATTTCCAATCACTTTCACCTCTTAGCCATTCAGTGTAATTTGTTACCCAACACAAGGTGCCGTCCTTGCCTCAGCCTGGCCACATTTCAGAATTGGCTCTCAGCAGCTTTTGCAACCCAGACTAGTTGACTTAATAGTTGTGTTCTTGACGGGCTAGAATTTCAACGCCATGCTGACTATCCCAAGATGTTCACCCAGGTCCATACTGGAAATTAGCTTAAGTGACAGGTGTCAGCAAATCCGAGCATCTCTTGAGGGGACATTAATAGGGGTGGTTTCCATAGACACCCATTGTGTGTCAGCAGGAAGGTGGCAAATCTGGAACCTTTAATAAGTAATTGTCTTGAATTTGTAAAAACACCTGACTAATTTATAGGACTACTTGGCAGTATATGTGTTACCACAGGCATGCTAGATGTGCACATATCATAGTGCTAGGGGGCAGAAATACAATGTTGGGGACCAGCTATAATTGTAAGAAATATTAACCCTGCTCTGTTAACCGTGATTGTTTTGTTCTGATGAAAGAAGGCACAGTCTAACCTGGCTGGGGGTTGCATGTGGAACCTGGGAGCTCGCCTTGAAATGCAGCCTGTCCTCCCCATCAGGGAGCTGCCTATTCTTATGGAAAGATTAACAACCTTGTTGCAGACACCAGAACTGCCAGCCCTTTGAAGACCCCCATCCTTTTTATACTTGCAGGCCTTTGCAAATCTCCAGCCTGCATTACCTGTAAACTGCCCATTTGCCATACCCTTTTGCTTACTTCCCATGTAATCTTTGTCCTACCCAATATAAGCAGCTGGCTATCGTGGGGTTCAGAGCAGATATTTGTGGGTGACCTGCTGCTCTCCCTGCTGTTGGCAGTATTGGAATAAATGCTCAGATATGATTCAGCCTTGTCTTTGCTGAACTGGCTGAAGTAGTGACAGGCAGCAAGGACCCATTGAGTGTCTGGTTACAAAAGCAATGACCACTAGATGCTAAGAAGTGGATTCCAAGAGCAGTGATGGTGGAGACCTACAGTTTGAAAAATATGAACCAACTTCTCTGAATAAAGCTGAGGCTGCTTTGAGAATAGAGAGGTCAAACATTGTGGTGTGTTTCTCATGTCTATACCAGCATGGCGAGGTCCTTTTGGTCTAGGCCTTGGAAAAGATTAGAACGTTTAGGCCACTTCCCAGTTTGCCATTTCAAGAAATGCAGGCACAAAGACTATTTCTTCTGTTTGTCGTTTTTGTAACTTATAATGCATTTATACTTTCAACAAATAATGTACTTCACCCTTAGGTCCCACCAGTTAAGAATGTTAGTAAGACACTGCTTGTTCTAAAGAAACTCAATCTAAGGGGGAATAACACAAAAGCAAATAAAGCAAAATGTAGCAAGAAAAGTAGACACAGGATACTAGGGGAACATAGGGAGGAGTCAGATCTGTAAGAAGCAACTTCTGAGCCGAGGGCTAAAGGAATTCAAAATTGAAGTACAGGAATTCCAGCACAGAATTAGCATTGCCAGACCCAGGGCTTGTGATGTGTGCACACAACTGATTCGAAACTGGATATCGGCACTAAATTAGAGGTTAAAAGTGGTAGGAAAGAGCCAGGAGGGATCTGTAGGCACTCCTTTTCTTTAAATACTTTTATTTACTAATGACTCCCAAATCCTTTTATTTTAATCTCTTCACATTTTTCACCCAGCCTCCACCATTAGTAAACCACCACGTTTCTCTACCTCTCATGCAATGCTTGGCAAACCCAACTTTCTGATTTTGATCATTTGCTGGGTATTATGCAATATTTCACGGTTTTAATTTGCATTATTTGATTATAGATGATGTTTAAAAGTTATTCGTGTAATTGCTAGCCACTCAGCTGTGTCCATTTTTAAAATAAGATTTTTTTCCGTCAAAGTGAATAATAAACCACTACACTCAAGGTTTCTAACACAGAACTGTCATTCCTACAAACCCTCTTTTAGGCCACTTAGGCAAGTGAAAACCAGAATAACCCTAATTCAACTTTGTTTTCCTACAGCCATTGGAGGCTGAATCCCATCTTCTCTTTTCCTTCCCAGATTTGTTGAAAGGAACCTGCATGGCCTTATCCTGCAATAGTTGAGGGCCTTTGGAAGAGAACCTTCTAGAGCTAGAGAGGGAGCACAGATCGCCTGTCCAGACCGTGAAGAGGTATTTCCAGGTTCGACTACCAGACGTAATGAGCATATTTGTGACTATCAGTAGTGGGTAAGGGAGGTGCCAAAATCTATGCGCTGAACCCCTTGTTACGGGATGGGCTTCATTCCTTCCCAGTGGACAGGTTCCTTCACTTTACCTCTTTCCTCGCAAATAACAAGGGTTCAAGGGGTGACTTTATCTTTACGGATACATAGTTGCCTTTGACAAAGGCAACAGTTGGTTAAGCAACTTAGTTTCCCTAAATAGCTACTATAATGTAAATACTGAACGTGAGGCCTTGCCAATCTTGTCACTCAATTGGCTGAGGGAAATGATACTCATAGTTCTGGAGGGGACGCCATTTCCATGAATTGTGCACTGAGCTTGCGTTTTTAATACGTAAACTAGGAGTGCAACAGCCACTGTCAGTGAGGACGGAAGTGGCTCTGAAAAGAGCCTTTGGGTTCTAGGTTGCCGCCCGCCAAGAGCTCACGCCCGCTCCCCGCGGATGCGGCGCGCCAGCTGGATGTCCTTGGGCATGATGGTGACGCGCTTGGCGTGGATGGCGCACAGGTTGGTGTCCTCGAACAGCCCCACCAGGTAGGCCTCGCACGCCTCCTGCAGCGCCATGACAGCCGAGCTCTGGAAGCGCAGGTCGGTCTTGAAGTCCTGCGCGATCTCGCGCACCAGGCGCTGGAAGGGCAGCTTGCGGATCAGCAGCTCCGTGGACTTCTGGTAGCGGCGGATCTCGCGCAGGGCCACGGTGCCGGGCCGGTAGCGGTGCGGCTTCTTCACGCCGCCCGTGGCCGGCGCGCTCTTGCGGGCGGCCTTGGTGGCCAGCTGCTTGCGGGGCGCCTTCCCGCCCGTGGACTTGCGCGCCGTCTGCTTGGTGCGAGCCATTTCCAACACAAAGAAGCAGAGAACTGCTGTAGGAATGGCAGCGCGCGCTCGCAACCAGTATATATAAGGCGAGTGCCACTGTGATTGGAGGAGGCACCTGCCCATCAAGGCCCGCAGTGACGTGATTGGAAGCCGCGTCGGCTTTCTGATCCCCGGGGCCTCCGGGCGTTTGGATCAGAAATTAACTTCTTCCTCCCACCCACCCTTTCAGCAGAGGCTGTTTTCTACCCTTTCTCGTCGCTCGGTCTGTGCGCGTTTTCTTTACAATGTTCTCTGTCTTTGCTCCGCAGAATTTCATGTAAATATCTTGTTCGCGGAATAAAAATTTTAAATTTTGACGCCGGAAACTGGCTTCCCTTTGATCTTTTTGAAAAAAGCGCGCGCTACTCGGGATTGGCCAAGTGATTTTTCAGTCTCATGCAGGTTTAGGAAAGAGGATTTCCCGTCAGTTTCTTCATTTCTCTATTTAAACTTAGAGATTTTAAAATGTTTTGTAGGCTTTTCTAAATGTCTGTTGAACTCAATTTCACATTTGATATTATAGCTCGAGTGACATTTGCTTTTCCCTACCACGTTCATAGGCAGCATTGCACTACGTTTAACCATTTGAAGTGAGACTTGTGTAAAAGGGGGTTAAGAAAACACATCCTCAAACGAGTAAGTGGACAGAAAGATGACGGAGCCGGTCACGCTGGCCCCGCGCAGAGAAGCTCCGCGGAAGGGACGCGACCCCGGGGCGGGCAGCGTTGCTTTCCTATTAACAACCCACCAGGTCCCCCTAGGCTGGGAGGTGGGCGATGGCGAAGACGTGTCCCATTAAGATGCAAAACCACACCAACAAGAGACAGGAATGGTTCCATCGCCCTGTGGGCCACTAACTATTTGCATTTAAATAGTCACCTCCCACCAGCGGTTCGGGTGGCGTTTTGTCCTGGTTAACCCGAGGGCCTGCAGCTTCCATGCGTTAATTGCCGGGTGCAGAGTCCCTCTATCCCTCAGTAACCACTGTTGCTAGCTTTGTGTTCACTGGCGTTCCTTTCCCATCTATAGGGTGTTTACAGTGACGTCTCCCGGTGGATGGAAGGGATCATTCTCAAGTAGCTGCTCCAACATGGCAACTGCAAGCTCTTTAGTGAACGCGTGGGTGGCTCTGAAAAGAGCCTTTGGTTTTGGATGTTGCGACGTGTTCCTCATTTGCCCTTGGCCTTGTGGTGGCTCTCGGTCTTCTTGGGCAGCAGCACGGCCTGGATGTTGGGCAGCACGCCGCCCTGCGCGATGGTCACCTTGCCCAGCAGCTTGTTGAGCTCCTCGTCGTTGCGGATGGCCAGCTGCAGGTGGCGCGGGATGATGCGCGTCTTCTTGTTGTCGCGGGCCGCGTTGCCCGCCAGCTCCAGGATCTCGGCCGTCAGGTACTCCAGCACGGCCGCCAGGTACACGGGCGCGCCCGCCCCGACGCGCTCGGCGTAGTTGCCCTTGCGGAGCAGCCGGTGCACGCGGCCCACGGGGAACTGCAGCCCGGCCCGCGAGGACCGCGTCTTGGCCTTGGCGCGCGCCTTGCCGCCCTGCTTGCCGCGTCCCGACATGATGAACAGGAAACCTCCGCTCAGGCCTTGATCTGAGCTGAGGCGCCCGCAGCTGCCCTCTTTATAGTCGCGCCGGGGCGCGAACGTGAGTCTGTGCCATTGGCGGGAAGTTACAGCCCTTTCTCTTCAACCAATGGGATCCTGGTTCTGAAACACACTCGTTGTCAGTGGACAACATCCCGGTGACGTTTCCGGGACTCACCACCAGTCGGACACGCCTCTACTCCCCGCCGCCTGGAAGGAGCCCGAACCGGAGGACACTGGCAGCCTCGCAGTCGCTCTTCCAGTTGTTTCCCGGCTTCTTCGGCGGTTCCTCCCGACCATGCCCGAGCCCGCCAAGTCCGCGCCCGCCCCGAAGAAGGGCTCCAAGAAGGCGGTGACCAAGGCGCTTTAGCCAGCACAGCCACGCTTTCTCGTTGGTGGCTCCGTGTTCCTTACTACAATTGTTAACTAAGGAACGTTCAAACCGGTAAAGAATGTGAGTTCATTTGAGCCGAACTGTCCACCATTGCCAGGAAGTAGAATCTCAATGAATTAAGATAATGCACTGGAGAATGGTGGTTTTTCACCTATTTTTATAAATTACCATGAAGTGGGTTACAGGAAATCCATTGGTGATAGATCAGGAAGGTGGGAGAAAGCAAAGTGGGGAAACCTAGGTGATTGGATAAAAAGTAAAATGATAGACATGTGTTTCCTTCACACACAGATGAGTACAGGATAGTGAACAGGCAACAATGAACAGATAACAACAACAAGGAGGGGATGGTCTCTGCTCTGGTGCCATTGGTTGCACCCTGAGGGTCCGGAAAAGGGGAAGTTACAAGTTACCCTGACATGTCACAGGTATGTTATCTTAGATGCAAAAAGACAACATGCTCAGTAAAGATCAAAGTTGGTCTTTGTCAAGGAAGATACTGGCCTAGGACATGCCGACCTCTATAACTGTTTTTTAATTAAAAGGTTTTCATTTCTGAACATCCTTTGTGGTTACTTTAAGTCTCTGAGTTTGCAAGGCTGTCAGGCAGGCCTTCCTGGAGGTAGTCAGGTTAGCATGTGGCCCCTGGTTGTCCACATACCATAACTATATATTTTAGCAATAGCCAGAAGGGCATGAAAATTGAGATAAGTATCAGACTGTTTATAGTATCGATGAAAACCAATCATTCATCACAAAACCACCAGGAGTATATACCCAGTGCTACCACATTCTTTGTCCCTTTGTCTTGTCCATCATTGGTACCCGAATTGTACGATTTTAAACGGCACTGCAACAGATAGGGAGCATATTTTGTGCAATATTGTTGGCTGTCTGTCTGCTGTGGCCCAATTGTCCTGTAAGTAAATGACCTGCAATAAATTCTGTGGAGTTGCCTGCTCTGACCTTGTGAAGATGCCTTCTCATTACAGTGGCCATTACACTCTTGCCCTTCATCAGACACCAGTGCTAATGAAATGCAATGGCCCTGGCTGAGGAGTATGGAATGGTGGGCGGGGGACGGGGGGGGGGGGGGGGGCGCGCAGGTAAGCCAGTCTCAGTCCCGTTTTCCTCCTCCCAACCTCGTCAGTAGGCACTCGGGTCTCTGCCAGAGCGACATGCCCCACAGAAGGAGTTTCTAGGCCTCTGGGGTGGGTGGGGAATTCTGAAGCTTGGAGATCTCTAAGGTCGGCACCAAAGCTCCAAAATGAAGTCTGTAATGGGAGGCCGATGCTTTGAGGAATCCTGGCTGCCACAATGCTCTGTCATTCGCCACACTGTTTTATCTTCCCAGTCTTTGCTCCTCGACTAAAAGTTATCCCGAAGTCCCTTCCCACAGAAATAATCTTCTCATGTGTCACCTGAAGCTATTGCTAACGATGTGACATATGACATAGCTTTGATTCAATCTTGAGAAATGCAGTGCAGTATTATAACTGCCAATTCAGCAGAGACGGGGCTGAATCCTATATGAGCATTTATTCCAATATTTCCGGCAGTGTGGGAGAGCAACAGGCCATCCACAAAAATCTGCTCTCCCCCCCCCCCAACCCCCCTCCTCCCATAAGCCAGCTCTCTACATTGGGCAGAAGAACAAAGATGACATGGGAACGTAGGAATTACAGGCATGGGGACGTGGGCACAGGATACTCATTGCAGGTTACAAGCCATGCTGGCTGGAGGCTGGAGGCGGGGGGGCGGGGGGGTCACAGAGGGCAGCAACTCCAGGTGCCCCAGGACCAGATCACAGGCAATAAACTTGGGTTGTAAAGAGCAGGTGCCTCTGGGACTAGATGGTCTCAGCCACAAGGCTGTCAATCTTTCCATAATGAGAGGCAGTTCTCGGGACAGGAGGATGGCCTGCATTCCGATGTGAGCACCCATGTTCCAGGGCGTACACTCCCAGGGAAATGAAAATGTGCCTTCTGTAATCAGAAAAGAACATTCACGGTTAAAGAGTATGGTTACTGGTAATATTTCTTAGTTAGTGTCTAATATTCTATTTCTGCCCCTAATAGTTGCAAGACCTCCATCAGATGCCTGAAACCATGGATAGCACCAAACCTTATATGTGCCGTTTTTTTCCTATACACACATATAATGAAGTTTAACTTATAAATTAGGCAAGTGAGAGATTAGCAACAATAATACTGAAACAGAACCATTATAACAAATTACTACAAAGAAAGGTATGTGAATGCTGTCACTCGTTTCAGGCTGTCCCTTCCCGTAGGCTCAGTGCTTTCGGGGGCCAATCAGAACAGCTTCCTGCTCATGCCTCCTGCACGTGAAGGCCACTGTCCTCTCCACTAAGCACTGACCACACCCTGTGGCTGTAACCTTTGCCGTTTGAGGTGCAGCAGCAAAGTAGCACAACTTTCTTTTTCTTCACAATTTTACAGACAGAAGATTTATTCTTACTGTCGATCTTAGCAACTTCAGCATATAATTTTTGCCCTCTTTCCTCATTAAGTCAAGAACTTTCACCTTTTCACTCAAAGGAAGCACTTTACAGCATCTGTTTGACATATCTGAATTGCCAGCATCACTACTCTTTCGATTTGGAGCCATTATTAAGTAAAAGAAGAGTTCTTAAACACATGCACTGTGATACTGGTAGCCTAGATGGTTACAAGTTAACAGTTGAAGAATACTTTAATTTTATGTGAAAAATACTTTAATTTTATGTGTGCTTTGGTCTTTAACTATAAAGGAGACTTATAGTTAATATGTTCTAATGTTAAACAGTGGATCAATTTTGTGTTGTCATTTTTGTACTCTTCTCTGTGTGTTTTTTTTTTTTTTTAATTAAAGAAAAAGGTGAAGACTAATGCCGTATCCTGGTGTTGGATGTGTTAGATATTGCAGCTTCTAACATACAGTATTTACCAAATCACCAGCGACTAAGATATGCCAGCCCGTGTTCTAGATGTTATAGTAACCACAGTGTGAAAACAGACAAAAATCTCTGTTCTTGTAAATTTACATCCCTTCAGGGGGAGAAAATACTAAATATTTAGTATTCAAATAAAATATACAATCTACTACACCGTGGTAAGTGCTAAGGAGCAAAGATTTGAGATTGTTGGGAGATTTATAATGTTAAATATTCCCAACTCCCTTTAACTGAATCTCTGAAATGGAAAATATCTATCTATCTAAGATATATATATATATATATTCCTTTCAAAGTCTAAACTTACACTCTTGTTTACAGTATGGTGGTAGGCAGAGATGGGCATCCCTCAGCTGATGGGTTAATGTTCTCTTCTCTCAGAGAGGTTACATATGACAGTTCCTCAATTAGAACCTTTTCATTGTGTTATTTATTTTGCATGTGAAAGAAAATTCAAGTTAATAATCCAGTAAGTCCAGTCTACAAATACATGGATTTGAAAGCAAAACATCAAAATAAAAATATAAACTTTTAAGAAAGACGCTTTATGTCATGTAGAAAAACGTGTGTTGTATTTTATTTATATTTTGTCTCAGAAGTTCCCTGCAGTTATCCAAGATTTCCTCAGCTGGAGACACCTCCGCAGGCGTGGGGGGCGGGGAGGAGGAGAAGACACACCCAGAGAGGTTGTGTAAGATTACCCTCTAAATGCCTCCGACAGAGGAGAAGACACACCCAGAGAGGTTGTATAAGATTGCCCTCTAAATGCCTCCGACAGTTTTGGAAAAACAACTAGCAGAGGATGGTTTCGATCCATCGACCTCTGGGTTATGGGCCCAGCACGCTTCCGCTGCGCCACTCTGCTCCCTGCAGGGCAGCTGCTGAATTAAAATCATTCCTTGATTCTACTTCCCTTTAAAAGTTTGTATATTAAAAATGATTTTTCTTCAAAGACTATTTATTGATTTTATTCAGTCTTAGAACAGAACAATGAGTCCAGAATACATTGAGTCCAAATATTCTGAAGGCAAAAAGTTCGATGTTTCTGTTAGAAAAGAGCTGGTTTCCAGCCCGCCCCTCGCCTGGCATGAACAACTCCAGTCCTTTAGTCGGGATGTGCACGGAGGCCAAAATTCGAGTGTGGAAAGTCCTTGACCCTTGAACTGGGTATTTCAACATGATTGGAAGGATTTAAAAAAAAAAAAAGAAAGAAAAGATATGAGTGCATTGGCCGGGAATCGAACCCGGGCCTCCCGCGTGGCAGGCGAGAATTCTACCACTGAACCACCAATGCCCATGTGCTGAAGCTGTTGCCTGGCGCCAAGAAGGTATTTTTTCCTGCTATTTTGCCGAACTATTAATTCATTTTCTTTAAAAAAACATGTTTAGATGGCGTTTCGCTGTTATTGAGTAGGACCTGGCTTCGATTCCTTTCTCCTGGCAAAGAAGAGGTAGTGACTTTGGCGTGACGTTTCTTATCAGAACACCTGCCAGCCCGCGAAGAAACATCTGCACACACTCCCGAGAAGTCTGCACACACGCTTTTGCATTTGAGTTCCGGTTGGGGGCCAAGGAGGGCTCACAGCTCCGCTAGTTCTGGGATTTGTGTTGTAACAGCAGGAACAGCTCAAAATGGCCCCATTCTGGTCACACGA